GTTTAAGAGCGGGACTGACCAATAGGGAAGGAAAACAAAGAGAAACACCTTCTGAACCTTCTACAATATCAATCACATAGTCAACTTTCGCTTATTTTATCCCCTATACACGATCTTTATTGGGGGAAACTGCATTTATCTTGACGTGCTTCATTTTAGGCCAAGTCCATACATCCATAAAGGAAAATAAATAAATAAATAAATAAACAAATGACAAAATACCTCTTTTCTCCCCTCCACAGAATCAACCTTCGCCACTTCCTTGCATGGCAACACATCACCAGTAAATGAAACTATGACCGCCTTCATACCCTTGTCAACCTCATTGAGAGCTTCATAAGGTACACATTAAATTTGTCACATTCTGAGAAATGTTCCAGATACCAGAGTCTTTGTCGTCGTCCCTTACAACCTATTCGCCCGTCGGGAATAAGAGAAACAACGCAAAACTCCTCATGAGCAATATAAGAAAAAGGATTATCCAGGAAGTAATTACGTTTAAAATTATTCCAACTGTCAACATAGACCTTGAAGACTCAATTTTGAGCACGGCGAAGGGAAACAAGCTCGTAACCAATGAAACCCTTTGAAGTAGGACACACTTCAAAAAGATAGAAGAAAAGATCTTGAGAAGCCAAAATTGCCTTCCCCTGATATACATACCAGTATTGAAATAGATGTACTTAGCCACAGGCACAAGGATGAAGTTTTGAAGGGGAAATGAAAAGGGGATCCAAACCTCTTTCTCGAAAGAGATTAGAGAATTACGAACGCCTAAATCCTAGAAAATACAGACATAAAAAGGGATAAAACACTCTTAAAACTTGTGAAATATCCTATTTTCGATCAAAACCTGTGAGATTTCCCAATCAGAAGAAACCCCTATTTTTATAAGATCAAACAACACCCGCCTTTCACTTTTTGGACTTGAGGCCTCTAATACAAAATTGAAGGATTTTGTTTCCTCTTTCCAGGCATGTAAAGTTTATACATTTTCAATAAAAATTGAGAAAATTATGACCAATAAAAACTCAGAACTATGAGCACTTAGAAAAAATCCAAAATTCCAAATAACTTCATTGACAAGTTATCTCCAATTCACACTTTAAACTTGATTTTATGCCACCATTGACCATGAAATATGAAAATAGGGACATTGAATTTATACTTGACCAAAATTCCCCTTGGTCAACAATTGACTTTGGTTGACTTCAGACAAAATGACCATTTTACCCCGTTTTGCCAATTGAGCCATTTCAAACCCAAATTGATGATCAAATTTCCAATCATAGATGCTCATGAACATGTAGAGAAACATGGAATCAAATATTTCCCAAAAAGTCAGAGATTTCCTGATTAAATTTCAAACCCTAGTTTTTGTCCTCTGTGTTAGGAGATGGCAAGATGCATGCAATTGTGCCATTACCTACAAGATGACATTCAAAGCGACATATATACATATTTTGATGTTAGTCAAAAGGATATGTGTACAAGATACACAATTCAAGATGCTTGGTGATCCCTCCTAGACAAACTTAAAGATAGGATGGAGTAGGAGAAGTACCCAAAACCCTAATGTGTGATCTTGTTGTATTATGATGGTATGAGATGATAGAAGAATCTTAGGGGCAAAAATTGGGGTGAAACAACTTCCCTTATTTAAGTGTCTTCTATCCGAAGATATGAAGGTTAAAATCTTCGTGTCGACACGATTGAAGATACTTAAATATAAAACAAGCCCTATTTTTGGCCCTAAGATGCCATGCAATGCTTATGATTATAAATGCAAATGAACAAATCTAATGAGTGACACAAGACACCACTGGGGATGTAGTAAATAAAACCAAGATCAAAAGAAAAACCCAACCAGGAAAATAAATCATTGGTGAACAAAAAACTAGACTCTATTAAGGTAAATCCCAAATAGGAGATAAAACGTCATCAACTTAAAGTTTGAGGAGAGGGGGGGTAAGGGATAAAAGTGATTGAAAGATGAATGCGAACTATCCACTCCTTGAAGAGATAGCAAAAAAGTAACATCTACCTGTTATACCCCAATTTTTGCCCCTAAGATCCCTCATCACACTCTGTACATCTCACACATAACGTTGGTCCCATGGTTACAGGATCGAAGAGTTTAGCATTAGGGTTGTTCTCTGTGGACTAAGGTTGTTACATTCTTCATGTTGATTCAACTGGCGCTCTCATCATTCTTGGCACGAGATTAGGACTTTGGATCTCAAGCAGCATAGACGTCTTCGCTAGCAATGTTCCTCAAGATACAAGTCCATTTCTTCAGCAATGGTCGTCAAAGGTCAAGAATTAGGGTTTCTCCTATGTTATATTTGAGCTTGGTATTAGATCTTCAGCAAAGGTTTGTCATGCTAGGATTTGTCCTCAAGGCTACAAGGATCATCATTGTCTCTTTATTATGATTTCACTGACGTCATTTAGGGCTCCTCTTATTTTCTTACACCACAAGTCAACTCTTCTCAAGAGGGCTAGAAGATTGAGTTATGGTTATAATACTTGTCAGATAAGTGAGCGTTTCTTTGCATTTTCATCGAGATTATTTTTTGTTAATTAAAGAGTGAGTAATACAACATGGTAGGAGTTCGGGGGTGCTCTGTAATCAAGGCCTTGTTATCTCTCCAACTTCTTATTTATTTGCCAGTTAACTTGAATTTGAAGAGTGAGGTGGAGAATAGGTTCATTATTGTGAAATAGAATTCGTGCATATGGGTAAAAAATTTAAAGTATAATCTGAATTCAAAATCTAATCGAGTGGACCATCGAAAACTCGAATTACAAAGGCCTTTATCATTGTATCCATTGTTTGTTGCTTGTCGTGAAAATTGGTTTGGATCTGAATTGAGGATTAAATTTGGATTCAAGTGATGTTTTGAGATTCATTCAAGCATCATTTAAGAATCAAGATTCATTCATCCATTATCATCAATGCAAGACTCTTGGACCAAGGTCCATTCAAAATGGTATGGATTTCATATTGCAAAGATTAGCCATTTATTCACGAGTGTTTATGAGACCAAGGGGTTAAAGTCTTGAGAACACCGCAAAAAGCAAGACGGAATACTCAAGGATAGCATGGCAAGAATGGAATATCTTGGGACCATTGGTTATGTTCAAAGGCTATTCAAAGATTCAAACTTTAAATAAATGTAATAATTCATTCAAGATTCTTCAAAAAAAAATGCAAGTGATGAAACGCGTTACTACACTTATTTCAATTACTTTCATTACAAGAGATATTAAGCCTTACACAAATAAGAGAGTCCCACAAATTTGACTCCAATCATAAAGGTTACATTTCACAAATTACACAAACCTAAACCTATCCTAATCTTCAACCATTCAACATTCATGGTCAGGTTTCCATCTTTACTTCAATCATCAATTCTTTACTGAGAGTTCCCGCTTTTCCAATGTGGTCATGCCTAAAGCTTCCTTCAAGACTCAACACCCTTTTGAGAGAGGGCAGGCTGAATCTATTCACATTAGAGATAAGCATCCTGATAGAGTACCTGTGATTGCGGAGAAAGCCGGAAGAAGTGACATTATAGACATTGACAACAAGAGGTACCTTGTTCCAGCTGACTGGTCTGTTGGTCCATTTATTTATGTCACCTGCAAAAGAATTAAGCTCAATACAGAGAAATTTATCTTTGTTTCATTGACAACATCCAACCACTACTTTGATGTCTGCTCTTTACGAAGAACATAAGGATGATAATGGTTTTCTTTACATGACTTACGGTAGAAAGAATACATTTGGATGCCAGTAGGAATAGTTTGAGAAAAGCCTAATGTAAATAGCTCCCATCTCAGCAGTCACTGTACAAGTCAAAAACAATGACATCAAGAAAGGACCCTACTCCGCAGGGCAAACTAATTCTGATGCAAAGTGATTAACGCTGCCCTGTTTCAAAACACTGCAATATGTTCAGAATCTGCACAGCTCAGACACAAAACAGGCATGAATAAATTCAAGTTGTGACTCGATTCACAAACTCACTTCAAGTAAATGCCAATTCGACTTAAAACATGTTCAAAATTCAGAAGAATAGTTATGTAATGTGAAAGGATATAAAGAACTCAAGCTCTTACAGTCGACATGGTTCACTATAGATCCAAGCACGCATACATTCAAACTGTATTTGTTTGTCACCCACAAAACCATTAGAGTACAAATTCTGAAAGACTTTGGCGACTATTTTGTAATAGCCTCAAGCCTTTATCCTGACTTGCTAATAATAACCAGAGTGCAATTCATCAAATAAAAAAGTTTAGAGAAGGCAATTTGAAGTCGGTCCTCGCAAAATGGGTCCCTGCATCAGTTTCCCAAACAGTTAAATAAGAGGAAATCCGTTCATAATCAAAATGGGGCCGATTTCATAACATTTTTTTGTGTGAGCAGCAGTTTAATAACAGAAGTAACAAAAAACTGTTAAGTAAAGGAGTTTGAAACTCAGAAAAAATGAGAAACTGTTAATTTAATAACAAATTTTTCCATCTTGTTTAACTATCCTTTAACCGATTCTCAAACAAAAAACAAAAACTAATCTCTAGCAATTCTCTAACTAAAAGCCTCACAAAACCATAACAGAACTACTCCTAACTACCTATAACAAAAGGGCTAACCAACTAACAGAGGGCTAACTGTTTTCTCTAACATAATTTTTTAACTTCTTAACTGAATCTCTAACAAACTTCTAAAAGAAAATGATATAACAACATAATGGAAAAGGGGGGATTGATAACAGAAAACTGGAAAAACTCAGAAAAACTCACTTTTGGATTCTCTCTTCCTTCTTTCAACCTTCATTCTCTCTATCTTCATCAATCTTCACTCTTTCTTCCTCTTCCTTCAACCATTTTTTATTCGAATTTTTCCCTGGAATTTTCACTTGATTCTTTATCATCCTCAATTCTGCAACTTTCTTCTCTACGTCAACCTTGCTTCAATCATTATCATTCAGCAATCATCCCTCGACATCCAGAGTCGGTGAATCGACGTCATAACCATCATTCAATTTCTGAATTTGATGTAGCTTCAACAGAAAACCTGCAAACTGCAACAAACAACAACTTTCATATTCGTTTGTTTTTAACTGCAACTGCAACAACAACAACAACTTCTTAGTGTCAAACAGAAGCAATAGAAAAAAAGAAAGAACACAAACGTGAAAGGAAGAATATGTCATCCGAACCACACACAGAGACAAAGAAGAAGGATCGAAATCAGATAGGTGAAAAGAATATATACCTGTACATCGAGACTTTCGCCAGAAGGGGATTTCTTCATCGTCGTCACTGTGAGGTAGGTCTGAATTGTTTGCGCTCGTTTTGTTCTTGGTAACATTGTGTAGAGTGAGGCCTCACAAACACTTCCCCCAAGGCGCCATGGACGGATGTTGCTCCGGGAGTATTCAATTTTGACTTTTGTAAATCCTAGGGTTTTCTATTATGATTGGCTAGGGCGAGGAACTAAGGGAAACGAGATGGAGTTTGGAGGTTTTGGAATCCAGATAAAAGTCATGGCTGTCTGGATTATGATTTCTAAACACCGACCACCGTGACTCAGGAAAGCGATAGGTTACAACAGAGGTGAGAACATGAAGAAGAAAGCGTCGCAGGGTTATGAGAGGAAGAAGGTTTCTTTTCTTCTTGAGAAGTTGATAAGTCACAAGACTTAATCAATCCGATGCATAAAACGCTGTCGTTTTGTTTTTTTTTCATTATATTTTTTTATTCAGTTGATAATGTGATGTATTAATTGTTGAATCATGAGGCTTAAAAATGGTGTTGTACCTTGGGCTCGTGCGCTAAATTGCCTCCTACAAGCCCATGTCTTTTTTTTACTGAAGAGCTATTGGAACAAAAATGCATGGTCATGGACTTTGTTTGGCTGGGCCCAACGCCTGGGTACTACTACACCCCCTGGACTCTGTCTCACGCCCCCTTAATTCTTCTAACTTCTTATTTTGTTTTAATTTTCTTTTTGTTTAAATTTTTGTAATAAAAGATTAAAAAAAATATAATAAAACAATAAAAAATATAGATTTTAGGAATGCCTCTTATTTTTTTAGGGTAATAAACTACAAGATCAATAAATTTTGTTAGACTTTTATGTGATTTTGGAAATTAATCCCTAATTTTTGATTACTTGAAACTTGTGAATCACCTTTGCTTGTTGAGTTAAGTATTATGCAGATTCATTATTTGATATGCGGATGTGTTTGGATTTCAATTGTGTTTTATTTTCACATCGATGAAGCTTCGACACCTATTCCAAGCATTCAATCTCTGACTATTTGTTTATTGATGTCAGCTCGCGCGATATTCCAGGTTTCTTACCTTTGGTTGTGCTTTTTGTGGACTTTATTGTTCGTTTGTTATTATACTGCTTCCAATTTATTTTTCTGCGTATTTATCTCTTTCTAGATATCACGAGAAGTAGGAAATAAAGAGCGTGCATTCGAAGTCGCTGTTTAAAGACCTGTATCAGGCATTCTGCACTTCATTTGTTATATGTGTTGTGCTTGTGTTTGTTTCCTTTCTTGTTGATCGACAAGTCACTCAATTTAGAAATTGAGATCACGATTTCGCTCTCAGTGCATGCTACCTATAGGATTTTATCGCTTTCCTTTATTTCTTATTGATCGATGAGTCACTCAATTTAGAAATTGAGATCACGACTTCGCTGTCATTGTATGTTCCCTATAGGATAGTTTGTTAGACTTTCTTTGGCGTGCTAACTTAGACAGGATCAATCATTGTATGATAACATTAGGTTAGATATAGGTTAGTCTCTCTTTATACTTTTCTTTCCCCTTTTGCATTTGCATTAAAACAAAAACTTCTTTTTCTTGCAAACTTCAAGACACTTAAAGATTACTGATGAGAGTCATACCTTTGTTGAGCATGGGGGATGATAAGTGAGTTTCTTCTCGATCTTATTGTTCCTACATTATAAGCCTTGGTGTGGTTCAAGTATCAAATACTTACTTCATGAATAAGTAGATAAATGGATAATATCTCTCTCTTGAGATTAACTAGCCATTATTCGCAGCAAAAACACCAACCAACACAAACTCTCTTGCCTTGGGATTTTCTTTCAAAATTCTTTCCAAAAGGACATGTTAAGTCATTTTTGTGTTGACGCGTAAATCTACAAAGGCCGAGTTGCGATAGAAGGCGATGTTAATATTGTTCGTTTAAAAAATACAAACAAATAAAGTATATGAGCCGAACTACGGTGCTCTGATTCCTTAAAAGGGATACGTAGGCATCTGGTCACGGGGCTCAACCGAGCGAAAATTTGTAAATACTTCCTTCTTTTCCCTGTGTTTTCTTTGCATGCATTCCCTCTTAGTTTATAACCCTTAAGCATTAGATTGAACACACCCTTTGATTAGAACAACGAGAGTGGATCCCGTAGAGTACTATAGACATGTGGGGTGCTAATACCTTCCCCTCGCGTAATCGACTCCCTTACCCAATCTCTCGGTCGTAAGACCTTGATTTCCATTTTAGGTTTTTCTTCGATTATTTTCCTTTTCCTTTTATGGGATAAATAAATACTCGATGGAGACTTCATTGATTTTACCGCTACAGAAAAATGGCGACTTCGCTGGGGAATGATAATGTCGACCAATTGCTGGTCCATCCCATGAGTCAGTCCTAACTCCCGTTTTTCTCCTCTTAGGGTGTTTATCTTTATGCTTTATAACTTATTCATTTGTATATATTTGAGCATATGTATGCATTGCGTTTTATTGCTTTCCATATATTGTTATTTCTGTTGTGCTGTATTATATGTTTATTGATGGGTGGGTGTTACTATTAAGGTAAAAGGCCCAGTACCCAGGCCAGAGTGCACTAAGACACTGGGAATAGAGTGGGGGCATGAAGGCTATAGGACGTGGTCCAATTAGTGCAGTCATGTCATATACCATGCTCGGATAAGGTTCAAATGGATTACTATCAACACCTACGTCTGTGGGTAAGGCGGTAGTATTTTCAGACGAACCCGGGATTTTGAGTTACCTTTGACCTACCTTGACCTAGTCTTTACCCATGAGTGGGGAGGGAATAATCTTTATAGGTACAGATTGTGACTATACATGTGCTGTTGGTGACTCTGGTTATGCCGGTGACTTTGGTTCTTGGTATTATGATTTGGTCCAGACCTTTGATCTCGTGACATGTGACCATGGTTCCGTTATCAGTTCAACAACTATTCAGTATTGCAGAAGCTTTGATCCCACATGTTTGCATGCATAACATGTTAATGTAATTATCAACATACATGTTTTTTGTTTCCAAACATCATTCCCTTGATTCCAATTGCTAAGCAAAATAATAATAATAAACATTGAAAAAATAATAAATACATAAAAATATATATAATAGTATCGTGGCTTAAAAACTGGAATCAAAGCGGATAGACTTTTGGAAATAAGAACACAAAATTTGTGTTGCATGTCATGCATCATATTACATTTAACTATGAATTTAATGAGTTTCCAAGAAGTCTTACCCTAGGTCCTCTGCTCTCCAGAATCAAGCTGTCTCATCAGTACAACACTCGTGCTAAGGGAAGATGGAAAATGTTAAGGAAGAGATCTTTGAACTCCACAAAGAGGTAACTACTTTGAAGGATGATATGGAATATCTAACTGCTTTGGTTAAAACTTTGGTTGCCGCCCAAGTCAATCCTTCTAGGAAGGAAGAAGAAATGGCAAAAGTCTTCACAGAAACTCTGAAATCATTCTTTCATGAGAAGGTGATAGTCAATGCACCCGGTGAGTTCCCAGAAAAGGTGAATGTGGGAGTGCTTCTAGAAGAGGAGGTCCGAAAGGAATGTTTATCTGAAGAAAGTGGCACAACTAGTGGTGTGAAAAAGTTTGATAATGATATTTCTAAGAAGAGAACCAGAAGAAGAAACAATCAGCGTCAGAATTAACATGTTTCTTCTGTCATATGTGTTCAATTTACCTCTTGTTGCTCCAGTTTGTCAACATAATCAACAAGTTTCTTATCAGAAGAAAGCTCAATTTGAGCCAATTCCAATGACCTATATAAAGTTTTTTCCTATCCTAATGCAGAGGAGTTTGGTTCAGACTCAACCTCCACCGAAGATTCCTGAGAAGATACCTTGGTGCTACAAAGCTGATTTGACTTGTGCTTTTCATTAGGGAGCCCCTAGGCATAGTATTGAACAATGTTATTCATTGAAAGCTAAAGTCCAGAATTGGTCATAAGTGGTATTTTATCACTTAAGGATACTTGTCTTGAGGTTCAAGCCAAGTCTTTGCCGAAAAATAAACATGATTGAAGAATGCCCTAAATTTTAAGGATGATTAGTCTTCTCATGTTTACTAGCAATTTTACTGATTTCTCATTTGTAATTTTTTTTATTAATCATTGTACGGTTTGCATGTAAGAACTTGTTTACATTTGAATAATTATCTTAATACAATGAATATGTTTGTCTTGAAGAAATCCATTCGCTTCACTCGTATTTATTTTTAATTTTTAATTTCTTTTTATGATACCAACTTGTTATTCATTCTATTGACTAAGCATAGATTGGAGGTTGGATGATGAATTTAAAATGCAAAATGTCTGGTTGTATGCTTTTGAATAAAACCCTGTTGACGATGTACATGCATTGTTTCAAATTCCCAAACACCGGAGATATAAGGGAGTGAAACCCTCGTTAACCCCTTTGAGTCTTGAAGTAGGAGTTTATTTTCTCTTCATAAAAAAACCCTCATTTTAACCTAGGGCAGGGTAGTGTTCAGTTAATTTGATTGAACGTTTGGAACTCATCAGAAATGCGCATTTAAGGATACAATAATGGTTATCCTTAAAAAGGTTGATGTAACTCAAAATTGTAATGGTTAACCTTCACTTATCAAGAGTGTGCATCAATTAATGATATCCCAATGATTACCTCTCACGCATCAAGAAGTCAGTAGACGACGATACAAACATATTCTTCCAACAAGTCAAAAATGACTCAATGTCACGAGACATGTTCAAAAGGAAAGAAAAAGTAATATAAAAATGAATGAAAAATGAAATGAATAAGAATTGAATAGAGAAAGAGACAAAAAGCCTCGCTAAGTCGAAACTTGAAAAAACAAGTCGCTTAGGCAAAAGTCAGAGCATCCCGCTGGGCTTCATAGTCAAATTCAAAAAGAATTTGTCCAGGAAAAAGTTAGGGAAAATGATGGAAAGCCTGAAAGGAGAAAAAAGATTACAAAACGGATATACTTAGAAAAAAAATATGTTGCATCAGACACTAAAAGTAAAAATAAGTGATTGTCGTATCCAAAGAAAACCTCGGTTGGT